GCCTAGTAGCTAGAATCATTTTTATTTTTTTTATTTTATTAATTTTTAAAAATTAATTTATATGTATATTTATTTTGATACAGAATCTCGCTCTGTTGCCCAGGTTGGAGTGAAGTGGTGTAATTTTGGCCCACCACAAGCTCTGCCTCCCAGGTTGAAGTGATCTTCGTGCCTCAGCCTCCCCATAGCTGGGACTACAGGCACACACCACCACACCCAGCTAATTTTTATATTTTTAGTAGAGATGGGGTTTCGCCATGTTGGGCAGGCTGGTCTCGAACTCCTGACCTCAGGTAATCCACCTGCCTTGGCCTCCCAAAGTTCTGGGATTACAGGCGTGAGCCACCACACCCACCCTGGAGTCATTTTTAGAAGAATCACAGAACCCAGAAAAGTATCTACCAGCATATGAAATGTGGAGACCTATCTCTAGTACCCCCAACTTTACCTGTTGGCCTATAACTAGAAACTAAGATTGCAGAATTTCCCCATCCTAAAATAATTGAAGAAGAGAGGGGAGTGACTTATCCGAATATTTGTGGTCCTGCCTTCATCACTTCCCTTGTCTACAGGTGAGTCCAAGGTTGGTGGCCATGAGAATGCCCTTGGTCCTTGGCCCATACTGCAAAGGAACCAGGCAGGCACAGTTCTCAGAGCTCTGAGGATGGAAAGGCCACTTGTAGCTCCAAGTGTCACCTACTTTCCATTGTCCTTTCAATAAAAAACAAGAAGGACCAGGATTATGACTTTTCTGCTAATAATGTTACCTTCCTGCCTTCTGGCATTTGCCTGGAGCTGTTTCTCAGGGGTTCCACAGCTTGCTTTCCCTTTCCCTCCAGGGCCCTTGTGTGTGCAGGAAAATGGCCAAGGTCGGCCCCCGGATGAGTGGGTGGGTCCCAATTCAGTCTCTTCCTAGAGCCCTGAGGATTTTGATGTCAGATCTGTTGTCCGTATCCCCATATGGGGAGGTTCTCTGGACCCAGAGGGCAGTGGCCATCTCCCCATTTTTCATTCACTTCACCCCAGCCCCTCTTTCCTTCAGGGCACCCTGACTGCTCAGGGGAAGCTGCTACAGCAGGACACATTCTATGTGATTGAGCTGGATGCAGGCATGCAGTCCCGGACCAAAGAGAGGCGCGTGTTCCTCTTCGAGCAGATTGTCATCTTCAGTGAACTGCTCAGGAAGGGATCCCTCACCCCTGGCTACATGTTCAAAAGGAGTATCAAGGTGAGGATCCCAATGGTGATATGAAGGGGCAAGGAAGAGCCCAGTTTTTGGGAGCTGCTTCCCTAAGACAAGGCACTGGAGTCGTGACATCCAGAACCATGAAGATCTTTCAGCTAATAACCTTCGGTCATGGAGGCTGAACGACAGTGATTATCTGTGAGCTGAAGTGACAGGCTGAGCCAGTCTCCAGCATGATCCTGCAGGTTCCCTGGGACCATGTCACTCACCCAGAGACAAAAACCTAAGTACTGTCCTGCTAGATCCAGGGTAAAATTTGGAAGCTTGTCCTGAAATAGAAACTTTGAGGAACAGTAATATGTTGCTGATTTTTAAAAAATCTCTTAAATATAAAAAGGATCAACTTGTTTTCTTCCAGATGAATTACTTGGTCCTGGAGGAGAATGTGGACAATGATCCCTGCAAGTTTGCACTCATGAACAGAGAGACTTCTGAGAGGGTCATTCTGCAAGCCGCCAACGCTGACATCCAGCAGGCCTGGGTGCAGGACATCAATCAAGTCTTAGAAACACAGCGAGACTTTTTGAATGGTGGGTGCTGGGCTTGGTTTCTTGCAGGGCCATGTCAGGGGACTCCAAAACTTCTGAGCTTCCTTGGGTCTGGGTTCATGGTGAGTTATGAACCCAGATCACAGTTTATGGAACTCCAACTTTGTAGTTTTCAGAAACACTTTTGAATTTTTCTGAATCTGAATACACAGGAAGAACAGATAGGGTATGGAAAAGAAGCTCCATCTTTCTGATAGAAGAGATTTCGCTTATGGGACACAGGATATATGTCTTGTTGCCATCACTACTGCCTGGTACTAATTTGGGCAAAAGTCTGAGGTAGGCATATCCTCTGTGTCTAAGGGGCCAGGGCCGGCTAGAAATGACATATGTTTTTCCACTTTTCATAGCTTCTCTAGTGTTAACTAGAGATAAATGAGAGTTTGGCCAATCAGTTCAAATCCCTCCTCTGCTCCCAACAGTGTGAGAGCCTAAATAAGCCACGTTGCTAGCCAGCCTTACCCCTTTTAAATGAGAATGATTGCTAACTTTAAATTTCTGTAATACCCTGAAACTTCCTAGAAGAAAATTGGTGGTTACACAGAGGGTGTAGCTCTCTGTGGCCCTTGCAGGAGCTCCCTCATGAGTGGTGTGAACTGGAGTGAAGTAGAGTTGCCACTTTGAATGTATTTCTTTATTTTTTCCTCTGCTGGGGTTTTCTTCACACTGAGCTTGGCATGGGAAAGGGGTGTGCTATTTTAAACTAGTGGCTGATCTCTGCTAACTTGGTTAGCTCTGACATCTAACCAAGCAGAAACAGAGCTTGTAGTTGAATGCAAGATGTAACTAGTAATGAAGTAAACCTGAAGACTCAGCAATCACATATGCCTGGATAGACACACATACACACATACACACACACACACACACACACACACACACCTTTGGGTGTACCACCTCTTCCTGCCTGTCCTGAGATCTCTACTACATGGCCATATGTGCTCACATGAGTGCACACAAAGGTATACACATGTACACATGTACAGGCCCACCCTTGGGTGTGTCACATTTTCATGCCAGTACTAGGATCTGGACTCTCAAATGATCCAGATACAGCATGTTCTGGGTGTCTAGAATGGAACTGAATGCTGAAGGGAAAGATAAAAGGTGACATACGAGTTGAGGACCTTGAGCAGGTCATGACATTTCTCTGGGCCTTGTGACTGGTTTTGTGAAAAAGAGAGTTCAGGTAGATATACTCTGCCCATGCTGGCATGCTCCATGATGAGCCAGTCTTCCTGGAAGCAGGAAACCTGGCATCCTCCCTACAATATCAGTTTCCCTATATTATAAGGGATTTAGCACAGTGTTTTAAAGACAAATAGAAGAAGATCACGTAACAGGATGCCACGACTTTTTAAGATAGAACATGAGACTTCAAAGCAATTTTGCACTTACAGAAAGTATTTTTGGGCCAGGCTCCTGGCCCTCAACTGTAAAAAAATTTGGTGAAAAACAACTAGACTAAGTGATCTCTAGGATTCTTTTCACTCTAAAATATCTAAAATTAAACACCAGCCCAGCCCTGAGGGATGGTCATGAAAGTTGTGTATGACTTATGATTTCTGAATATATGATTTCAAATGAACACTTTTGTTGATAAAATAATTTTATGCAAAAATGTGTGCATATATAAAATATATCCATTTAAATTGCATTCTATTAATTAGGAGTTTCTGATAGATTCTAAGCAGAAATTAGGAATTTTAAAATTCATCAATTTGGGACAAAAGAAAAATAAGGTATAACAGTAAGTTGAAACAAGAAGTTATTGACCTAACAATAATGGCTCCTGTATATTGAATCCTTGCTCTGTGTCAGGCACTATGCTAAGCATTTTACATGGTTTTTCACATTTAATCCTCACGTCAACATGGAGAGGTAAGTACTCTTGTCCTACTTTTTTTCAAGTGAGGAAAAGGAGACTCAGAATTTGTCTAAGGTCACAGAAACAGTGAGCAATAGAAACAGGACTTGAATCCACAACTACAGGACTTCAAATTAAGGTTGTGAACCACAGAACTGCAGTATAGGTGCTAGTGTTAGAGCACTCATTTATTTAATTATGATCTCCCTAGCAACCAAAGTGAAGAAAGAAGCAGGATCAGACATGAGACACTGTATCAATCAGTCAAAAACAAACCCTGTAGGGATGCAGTTTTCTTGATTCTGAGAATTACGTTATGCAAATGGAGGTTGGTGAAAGAATACAGGCTGTCCATTTAGCTTATTTAAGAAAGCATACTATTTTCAAATGTTTTAGCACAATTATTGTAAATAATCAGGTAATATCACAATTCCATATGATGGGAATTGATTCATAAAATCAGTTTGATAAGGCCTACTTTATAACTCTGGTATGTACTTAGAACTTGGAACTGTATTTATTTAGGCATAGTCAATGATTCAGACCTTTACTTGGTTCCAAGAGACCTTTCTCCTAATGAATCATGGAGATACAGTCAGCCCTTGGTATCCACAGGGAATTGGTTCCAAGACCTCCCGAGGATACCAGAGTCTGTGGATGCTCAAGTCCCTTACATAAAATGGCATAGTGTTTGCATATGACCTATGTACATCATCCTGTATACTTCAAATCATCTTTAGATTGTTTATAATACCTAATATAATGTATATGATGTGTAAATAATTGTTATACTATATTGTTTATGGAATGACAAGAAAAAAAAAACTCTGTACATGTTCAGTACAGACTACAACCATCTTTTTTCCATCTTCTTCCCCCATATATATATTTTTTTTTCTTTTTTTTTTTTTCTTTTTTTGAGACAGTCTCTCACTCCGTCACCCAGGCTGGAGTGCAGTGGCAAGATCTTGGTTCACTGCAAATCTCCACCTCCTAGGTTCAAGTGATTCTCGTGCCTCAGCCTCCCGAGAAGCTGGGATTACAGGCGTATGCCACCACGCCTGGCTAATTTTTGTATTTTTAGTAGAGACAAGGCTTCAAGTGATCCACCCGCCTTGGCCTCCGAAAGTGCTGGGATTACAGGCGTGCACCACTGCGCCTGGCCTTTCCCATATATTTTCAACCCGCAGTTGGTTGGATCCATGGTTGTGGAGCCCGCAGATACAGTGGGCTGACTGTGTTACTGAACTGGGTTATCATCTCCTAAATACTTAATGCCCACAAAACGCTCCTCAGTGAGACAGGCAGTGCTCTGGTGGGCCCGTTATTACTTTGACACATACAAGAGACAAGGATGTGATGATGGACCGGGGCCAGGCTTCTACTTACAGAGATGTGTGCAGGTATCTCAAAGCCCATCTTTGCTTCTGAGACCTCAAATAGAAAGGAAGTGTGGCCCTGTGTTGAGTCCTGTTGAGGTATGTACCTATCACAGTAGCAACATCCTTCTAATTGAGAAGTTCTCTGGGCCCCAGGTGTTCACCCACTTAAATAGTTGTTACAGTGCAAACTGATAAAAATGACATAATCGGTCAACCCTTGAGGTCATTCTTAAAGAATTGGACCTGTATGGCATTTGCCTGGCTCTCCATCTGTAGTTCTCAGACCTTACAACTTTGTTACCTTAAACTCAATAAAACAAAACTCCAGTCTTCCCCTTCACATCAGCTTTTTCTCCTGTCTTGTGAGTTCCACTGACTGCCATCCTCCAAGTCTTCAAACCTGAGCCATCCTCGATTCTTGCATTGCTTTCCCACCTAGGCTGTCACAGTCTCATCTCTCCCGACCTCACCACAGCCGCATCTATTCCACATCCCCCGGTCCCGCTCTCCTAGACCTTCTGCCTCTCGCTTTTACCATTCCATGGCTTCTGAATTAGACAAGAAGCCTTCTGTCTCCAGTCCCTCCTCCTAACCACTACAAGGTTACTGTTCCTCAAATGTGGCTCTCTGATGATAGAATCTGAATTTAAAGCTTTAAAGTTCATTCCATCCAGTTACTTTTCATGACCTTCAAAATTTGGTCCAGATTCACTGGCCTCACTTTCTAGACTTTTCATACCATGGCATGTCCCACCTCACAGACCTTTCTCATTTCCTCTTCCTCCAGGGAGACCCAAGGCCCTAGGCACTCTGACTACTTCCTGTTCCCCTCACCAGCACGTCACACTTGCTTCCTTCCTCCAGCCTAAGTGGCAGAGTCTGGCCACAGTTCTCTTCCAAAGCTCTTTGTCACCACCACCACCACACATATTACAGAGCCTTCTCTCTCTTTGCATAACCCTTGGCACCTCACATATGGCACCATTTTGTTTTTTGTATTTTCATTATTTAGGTAGATGTCTTAGTTCTCACACTGCCTTAAAATCAAGGGTAGTGTTTTTCTCGCTTATCCACATGATGCCTAACATAAGGCCTTGGGCCTAAGAGGCCTCCAAATCCTTGTGGAATTCCCAACGCTTAGAGTAACCACCTGCTCTTATCCCGCAGCTCTGCAATCACCCATTGAGTATCAGCGGAAAGAAAGAAGCACAGCCGTGATGAGGTCTCAACCTGCCAGGCTTCCCCAAGCCAGCCCCAGGCCCTACTCCTCTGTTCCTGTGGGCTCAGAGAAGCCCCCAAAGGGCTCCAGCTATAACCCACCTCTGCCTCCCCTGAAGATATCTACCTCCAATGGCAGTCCAGGGTTTGAATACCACCAGTCTGGGGACAAGTTCGAAGCCAGCAAGGTAAGTGACAACTCATTACTCCCACACTTGTCACTATGAGGGCACAGCCTCAGGGGTTACTTTAGGAAGAGATAGAGTCTCGGTCTGTCACCCAGTCTGGAGTGCAGTGGCGTGATCTCAGCTCACTGCAACCTCCGCCTCCCAGGTTCAAGCGAATTCTCCTGTCTCCGCCTCCCGAGTAGCTGGGACTACAGGTGCCCCACCACACCCAGCTAATTTTTGTATTTTTAGTACAGATGGGGTTTCACCATGTTGGCCAGGCTGGTCTCAAATTCCTGGCCTCAAGTGATATGGCCGCTTCAGCCTCCCACAGTGCTGGGATTACAGGCGTGAACCACTGCGCCCAGCCAGGAAGTGGCATCTTTGAATGCTTGCCGATTATTTTAGCAGGAACAGCCCACTAAGTACAGTCTAGTCTCAATTTTGTTTTTCTTTCCCCATAAATTGGGTGAGTTATACCAGTTTCCTCTAGCAATCATAAAAATGGATGATTTTTGCTAAATAGAATAGTTGCAGTGTGGATCATCTTCATCTAAAAGTCACTGCTATAGTGTTTGACATCTTAAAAAGAGATCACCCTTTCTAATGATGATCTGCCTTGAGCACCTACTGAAAGAAGTTCACAGTTCTTCACCATCCATTGGCTGATGTGGAAGGGAAGTCGATCATCAGTGTGAGAATGGGAGAAGTCTAACTTGGATTGAATGTTTGTCAGAGATAATCCACAATTCAAACATCATCATGAGGCGAGTCAAAGACTCAAGCATAGATTTAGTCTACACAGCTATTTCGCCCCACAAGGTAGGTAGAACAGGAGAGAAATGGGAAAAGTGCTAGATTAGGAATCAGGCAAACCTGGTTTCTATTCCCAATTCTGCAACTCACTTGCTTTAGAACATTAGCAAGTTGGTTAACCTCATTAGGCCTCAGTTTTCTCTAGAACTCAGTGGCTCTATGAATAGGAACACTTACATTTTTTATCTACGTGTTCCAATTTTATAGTTTTATTTCTCCCCAAAATTATTAGTTTATATTGGTTATGTTAAAAAATAATTAGTGTCCAAGTTCAATCCTGTATTAGAGTAACTAGACCAATTTGTTCCATCATATCACCTGGAAATGATTTTCTACCTTAAAAAACAATCCTGCCTTTGGGAGTAAGTTGAAGTCACTTTGGTATTTTGTCAAACATATCGGGCCAGATGCGCTGGCTCACGCCTGTAATCCCAGCGCTTTGAGAGGCCAAGGCAGGGGGATGGCTTGAACTTGAGAGCTCAAGACCAGCCTGGGCAACATAGCAAGAACTCGTCTCTAATAAAACTTTAAAAAAAAAATTAGCCAGGCGTGGTAGCATGCACCTGTTGTCCCAGTGACTAAGGCAGGAGAATCACTTGAGCCTGGGAAGTCGAGGCTACAGTGAGCTATGACTCTGCCACTGCACTCTAGCCTAGACCTGCACTCTAGCAAGACCCTGTCTCAAAAACAGCCAAACAAAAAAAAAGTATATATTGAAGAATTTGTATGTATATCCTGTATGTATATACATACAGAATATGTATGTGTGTATATATAGAATATATATGTATGTTCTGAAGACTTTCTGACTCTTACCATGCTCTATGAGGCAGCCAGACCTCCTTGGAAAGTTACAAGTCTGTCTAGATGCAGCTGCCCTGATACAGACTCACATGAAAAGGTCATGGGCAGCATCTCTTGTATTAATGAGTAGGGGAGGGTACCTGGTGCCTGCAGGAAGTTGGGTAAGGGTAGGTCATGGCCTTGCCTTTGAACTGGGCAGAGATAAGAGGGTCAGAATATAGAGTAAAGCCAATGCATTTTCAAAAAGAGAAAAATTTAATATCAAACAATCCATGTTCTTTTCATTGAAAAATTGTGACCCCTGACACATGACCCTTATGCTGACCTCACTCTGCCCAGGTGCTTACATATCCCTATGCCAGTGCCAGGTTCTTCCTTTCACTTGTAAGAGAATGCTGGCAGGAAGGTTGTATGCTAGGAAGGGGCTTCCAGGTCAAAGGTGTGTTTGTACCTTTATGTGGGCTGGAGCCTATTCACCCTGGATGATAATATTGTTGAAACATTGCTATTAAAAAACATACTTTCAGAGCACCTTATTAATATTATGTCATTACTCAAGAGCGAATGCTGCCCGCTGCCTACCCTGCTAGTGGGAGATTTGGCCTTGAACCATTGGGTAGGGTGCCGAGCAAGCCCACGTGAACTAGCATCCTTGTGTTTGTGCCCCTCTTACCCTTATCTCCCAGCAGAACGACCTGGGAGGCTGCAATGGGACCTCGTCCATGGCCGTGATCAAAGATTACTACGCACTGAAGGAGAATGAAATCTGTGTGAGTCAAGGTGAGGTGGTCCAGGTCCTCACCGTCAACCAGCAGAACATGTGTCTGGTGTACCAGCCTGCCAGCGACCATTCCCCCGCCGCCGAGGGCTGGGTCCCAGGCAGCATCCTGGCGCCCCTCACCAAAGCCACAGCAGCAGAAAGTAGTGACGGGAGCATCAAGTAAGTGCCTCGTTGGCTTCCCCGGGAGAGGAGTTTGAGGATTAAAAATATTCAGAAACAAACAAAAGAACACAAAAATGCAAACACACGGTAGGGAATTACTGCTGCTTATTCTCAACAGTGCCACGGAACCAGTGTTTGAGTGCTGGTACCATACACAGCATGGGGCATCCAGGCTGGAGTGGTCCAGTTTTTTTTGTTGGTGGTGGCAGTGTTTTTTCTTTCCTTTTGTTTTGTAATTTTCTGTTCATTTTTTCTCTCTTTTTTCCCCCCACTCATTAAGAAAAGAACCCTACTGAAACCCTAGGTGACAAAAGGTGTGCTTTCTGTTGCCACATTTGACCCACCACAGGACTCACTGGACTGGACTTCTATTTATATTGTATTAAGTAACTGATATATATATATTTTTTTTTTTTTGATTGACACCAAAAAATTACCTTGGCACAAATGCCAAACCTGTGAAGGTCAGAGGCCCGCTGCTTCTCCCAGGAGGGAGGGAACTTTTTGGTTGTCTGTGGTAATTCCTCTGTACAGATTGTAACTTTTTAAAAATTCCCTTCGACCCCGTCACTTGAATATATGTTCATAGTAATTTGTAAGATACTTCTTTTCCTTATTTTGGTTGCAAAGACCCTTCCGAACACATTCCTGTATAAAGTATTTTGCACTATTTAAAGAAACCCATACGGATGAAGTCAGGTTGTGCAATATGATGGCGTCACAATGCTCATCGTTGTACCTGTCATGTAACTAATCAGTTTAAATGTACTATTTTAAATATGTAAAATAAATTTTCACCATGAGCATGTTTTAATGAAGTTAAAGACTAGTTGACCCTTTTTCCCCCCATTTCACTCTTCTTGGACTTTCCAATGTGCAAACAATTCTTCTTTTCCTTTTCTTGTTTTTTTCCTTTTCTATATTTTAGGTTTTGGGTGAATGCATTGGCATTTTTTTTCCTACACAAAAAGTACTTTTGTTGCTAAAGTTCTGACCCTGGCCTTCCCTCCTAAACAGCCCCTGTTGATTTTCCCTAACCTCTGAGATGAGGGAAGGTACAGATTCGATGCTGTCCGACTGGTTCCCTGCAACTGGGCAGCCCTAAAGTGCTGATGTCGATGAATGACCAGAGTAGAAGGCAGTGTTTGGCTGGCATTCCCCGCTGCTTTCCATGCTGCATAGTGATCCATGGAAGCCCATGGTGCAGGGGGCTCCCACGAGCTATCTGAGCAGTGGCACCAGCAGAACTGCACTGCTTTGGCCCTCTCTCTAGGACAGGGGATAGCAGCTACTGACATCCCCCTGGCCTCACTAGGTAACCACAGGCCCAACCAAAAATCCACAGTGGCCCCTAAGGCACAATAGCCCCCATGCATTTTATCCTAAGTACACTTGTTTTGGGTGCCTTTTAGGAAGCCTTGGGATAAAGACCCTCGAAGCACTGAAGTTTTTATTAATCAGGGGACTTGCAGAGCTAACTCTTAATGATTTATCCTCTAAATATCCAGGTACTAAACACTTCTTCCTCCCTACCTTTGGTTCTGTTGGCCACTTATCCATACATTCTATGGGAGGGAAGGTAAAAGGATGTCAGACCGAGCAAAAGAGAGCAGATTGAAATACATATGGGTCATTTTGATTTCTTGTCAGTCACTCTTGCACAAGGGTTGGGGGTGTGTGTGGAGGGGAGCAGTGGACTGAAAGAGGTTGTCAGTATTTACCAGTGGAGGACACTCAGCACACCCTCCCCAAGGCCTGCCATAACCACAGGGGTCAGAATTCGTTGTGATGCCTACAGGACAAACGTCACTGAAACCCTGTGTCCACATCAGTCCCCGGGCTTGCAACCAAGAGATGGAAGCTCCCCAAACCATGATGACGAGTTCTTCTGGGAAGAAGCATATGAAACCAAGCCTGTCCTGCCATTTATACTACTCTGAGTCTTCCTTCCAAACATGAAATGTTATTGCTCATATTTCTAGTTTTTCACCAAGCATTTTAAATAACCCAGAGTTTAATAAATGTAGAAACACGCCCCTACATGGACACGCACGTACACAATGTGCTGCCTGCCCTGGGAGTCCTTTCAGCAGGGATCTCCCTGACTCGAGTTGTTCTCAAAAGGAGCCAGGGACATGGATTTTGGAGTAAAGTTATCAAAGTCTGAAGTTAACAGGTTGATGCCATCTAAGATTGCTTGGCTGGTTCTTACTCAGATTCAACAGTTGGAGCAAGGTGCTGGTATGCAGGGGACAGTAGAGAGCCTGACTAGTTAGGAGATACAGGAGAAGGTCTGGGTTTTTTAAGGAGCCCACTTTCCCACAAGATTCAAGGATATTACTACAATTGCTTTTTCCTGCTCAGAAGGTCGAACCTGTGTGCTAGGGGATAAATATTTTTGGAGCACCTTCCTCAACGTACCCTTAAAATCCTGATATATGTGGAGCATTTTGGAGGAGATGTTCTGTATTTTGCAGCAGCTTCCTTCTTCCTAAATCTCCTCTGCCTCTCTCCCATAATGGAGGCTCATCTCATGGAGCCCTGTCTGCATAGGCCCACCTTTGACAGGGAATACTGAAGGGAAGCCACGTCTCACTTATTCCAGACAACAATTAGAACTTCTTTCAAGCTCTGTGACCTCACCTGAAACTGATGATGCCTGCTCAGGGTCACTGACACTGTTTGTGACTTGGCTTTTGGTATCTCTGTCTTTGAGATCTGATATTTACAGAAGACAAGCTCTACTCTGAGCTTGTCTTCAGAGGTCTGTGAAGAAGTTGCTCCCAGGACCCTTTGTGGGAAGAAAGAAGTTAGGATGAAAGGCCTATTGAAAAGCCATTGCTGCTCTCACCTCCCTGGGAGTACACATTAGGTCTTATCCTAACAGGGAAGCTCTAGGACCTCTAGAGGCTGACAAAGCCATGTATTCACAAACACTGAGTGATATGGAGAATAGAGACCGAGAAACTCTTTGCCCTAAAATATCCAGATAAATGAGTGATGCTCCACTGTTTATTAAGCAAATGCCTGCCCCAGAAAATCCTGTCTGATCAACATTATTTGGGAGTGGCCCTGCCCAAATACAAATCATGAGGTAGAACTCTCAACATCATCCTTTTGGGTCTTTCTGTCTGGTCCTGGGAAAGTGTCAGTAGCATATACTTCCCTTGTCTTTCCTATTCTACTCCTCACCCCCTTTCTCACCCATCCACCATGCCCTTCACAAGAGGAATTCCTCGGTCCTGTGAGGCATCACGGGTATGGTATACAAACTCCCTTGTTAGAGTTTAGTCACCTAGGATTCATATTTTCTTCAAATGCTGCAGTCAACCTTGCACATCTACCAGGGGAGGTCAGAGTTCATTCTCGCTCACTTCCAGTTGGAGGTGAGGTCAGCTGCCAGCCCCCATTGGAGCTGGTGTGCAGGTTTGGGGCCTCTGAAGCCCGGGCTTGATGGAGCACCTCACCTGCTGACTCACCCAACGGTGGTGAGCCCGCCCACCACCTCACTGTCCCTGACCTGCCATTTTGATTGGTGCATTTTTTGGTACAACAGGAAGTCATGTTCATGGCATACTCTACGCATGAGAAAGCGGGCGGAAGTGGAGAACACGGGTAAAAATGAAGCCACAGGGTCTCGTAAACCCAAGGATATTCTGGGCAACAAAGTCTCTGTTAAAGTGAGTAAGGTATTCCGGAGCTGCGTCCCCACCTGTCATCCACTCCCACCCTGCAGCATTCTCACAAGCCAATTGGGTGGATGGGTTATTTTTTTTTTTTTTCCAGTATGGGGACCAGAGGGGAAGTAGTTTAGCAGGATTTTGCATGCAAGATCAATTTATTTTTTATCTTTTATTTCTCCTGGCAACTTCAATTCAAGTAAGTACCTTTTTTTTTTCTTTTATACCTTTCTCTTTATACTGTGCAGATGTTTTACAGCAAAATTATCTGCAGCACTATTCTCTTAAAAATGCGAGATGCTTGATTCATATTAAATTTCTCAAAGCTGCCATTCGATACCCTAGGTTTGAGAATACACACAGGTTTAAGCAATTAGGGATGCCTTCCAAACCCCCAGCCCTGTGAAGGCTGAGGTTTGGAATTTAAGGGCCACTGTGTCCTTAGTAAAGTTTCATTTCTTTTCCCCAGAGTTCAGACAACATCAACTTCAGGCCATTTTACTTGCCTTTCCCTATGCATGGATACAGTAGGGGGACACATTGGTGAAGTTCAAATTATTTCTTTATAATAATCCATCTACTGCTTTGAACTCATGAATTATAAGCCTGGCAGACTCTTATTTACCCCTGTCTTGAAACAATTTCATCTGCTTTCTTTAAATTGAACCCTCTGGAAAGATCTGCCTCTGGACAATGGAAGCTAGACACTGATTATTATAGCACTAATTGTGCCTTAATGTGTGAACATCTACCTGGAACTTTGTTTCCCTTCCTTAGCAAAGTAAGAACAACTAAAACCCAGTCTAACTTCCTTCTTGGGGAAAAGAAATCGTATGCTCTCCTTCACTCTCATCTGGGAAGTCCAGCCTCACAGAAGACAACAGTTTAAATTTGACCACACTCATGCTTCATTTTGTTTCCATTGCTGTTTCCCATGAGATAAGCAGTTGTACACAACCCCAGCCTCCTCTCCCTGAAAAGAGCATGCTGCTGCCCCTGGTGATTCTCACTCCCACTTTAAAAATACCTGGTTTTTTCTGTGCCCGAGAGCCTATCGCCCATGCTTCTCTGAAGTTCTCCTCTCTCTCTAGCAAAAGCTACTTGTGTTCTAACTGTGTTCTCTTTCTTCCCCCTTCCTCATGCTGCCAATCAAGGAGACGAACAGTTCCGAGGAATCAGAGTGTGATGATCTTGACCCTAATACTAGCATGGAGGTAGAAGCAGCTATTGTTGTCCTATTTCCTACAATGATTGCCTTTTTTGATGTGTTCTGTGACAGTGACCTTGCTAAAATGATCAGCCATTCAGAGATAAATTGTGATGTTGGGGCATCTCTGGGTATCCCATCCCAGCTAAAAAAGAAACAAACAAAAACATAATTCAGTTCAGCGTGGGTAGAAAACTCTACCTAGATTTTTTTAAAAAAACAAAAACTTGTTCTCTTGACTGCTTGCTAAGTATTTTCTCCTTTGGCAGGTTTGACTTTATGTAGAAAATATCCAATTTCATTATTTGAAACTTAGAACACATTTTTTCATGGAAAACAGCACTATAAAGAGTGGATGAGTCCCCGCTAAATGACAAGGACTCATTTTGGGTTTAGTTTCTCCCTCTTTTGTTTCCCCCTTCTCCGCTTCTTCTTTTTCTTTAGCCCTTTATCCTCTCCATCTTGCTCTTCTACTGGGTTCTATTCCCCGCTCAATGTTCCGGAAAAATAATGGGTGAAGTATGGCACCTGGTTGCTATGTAGAGCTGACTGATAGCAAATGAGGTATAATTGTAGCAACTTCAGAGCACACTTCAGCCCAGTGCTGGGCCCGTGAGCAGTGGCTCTGCCCACCGTGTGAAGGAAAAGCCCTGGGGAGGACCTGTCTCCTGGAGCCACGGCAGAGGCCTCTCCAGAGATGGTGAGATGGAAACCCTGCCCAGGGGACGTTTCTCTCACTCCAGGCTTACAGGGATGTGGGAGTGGAACCAACGCCTGTATCAACAAGAACATCCATTCCACTTGCAACTCCCAGTCTGTTGGGTTATAGAAACATGGCTCTTATGTGGCTTGCCACTGAGTGGCAACCATGATAAATTTACAAACCCTGGACAATGAGGGCAAACATGGAGCTGACTTTCCTTGCCATTTTATCATTCAGAGTAAATTGTAATGTTTTTCTCCAAATCTGTGCCTCCATCTCCAGTAATGGGTATAAGTTTAGAGATTTCTAAGTACAAAATAGACAACATTAAAAAAAAATTTTGTATAGTCCCAGACATTTCACTTAATTAGATGGACTTTTATTCTTATTCTAATTTAACCTAATCCCAAAGAAGTCCAGCACCATGTTGTTTCAGCCACCACAAAACCCGAGAGAGACCATGAGGCCTAAGAGCCAGTAAGTCAGCTGCAGAAGGAGTCAACTGAGTTGAATCAGGCCCAAGGCAAGCGGCTGACAGTGGGAGTTCTGCCAGGATAGAGTAGTCCGCCATGGATGTGGGTATTGCCACAGAGCTAAATCTGGTAGGTGTGGCTCAATACATACCCCGCTGTGGGAGAAAGTGGAGATGGCATTTGTAGCCTAAATGTATCTTAGAGAACAAGGAAGCCAGGGGAAATTTCAGGCTCTGTTTTACTTGCATTTCATAGGATAGACACCAGCTCTCCTGGAGTTCACACCTGTCAGCTTGTAGATACTGGATGGCACCTGTATCCCCAGACCTAAGTGTTGCCAGTTGCAAGTGGAGGAAGGCCAGACAGAGGCAGGGGAAAAGCCAGGTATCTGTGTTCCAGGAAACAATTTAGGACCTTGTCCAGTTCTTGTGGACTGGGAGAAAAGAGTGGTGTTTCCACTCTGTAGGAAGAAATGGGCATAGAGGGATATGGGACCAGGGGAGCAGCACACATTAAGAATATTAACTGAGGTCATCGAATGCCCCATTCTGCACTTAGATAAAAAGCATGTGTGTGCATATACACATCTTAACTCTGCTTTGCTAATTGAACACATTTTAAAGGTTCTTATTCATCTAAGGCTTTTAGTCCTTTGCATGGGCTAAGTGAGATGGGTCCTCAGGAGGTGCTACAGAGTGCACGAGCAAAGACATTAGAATATTCATGCTGAACAGAGGAAAACCAAAAATTGTGTTGATGCATGTCTGAAAAGTTTTCAAATACAGTAGTTGAGGCACAAAGTTTCCTTTAGGCACAAACTTTCAAGTGACTGGAACCTCAAGGAGGCATGTTGTTGGAAGCTGCAATATCCCCAGTATGTGTGTATGTAGCCTTTATATATTCCATATACATCCTTCTAAATTTCAGAGATTCTCTTTTTTTTTTTTTTTTTGATGTGGAGTCTCTGTCACCCAGGCTGGAGTGCAGTGGTATGACCTTGGCTCACTGCAGCCTCCACTTCCCTGGCTCAAGGGATCTTCCCACCTCAGCCCCCTGAGTACCTGGGACCACAGGTGCATGCCACCATGCCTGGCTAATTTTTGTATTTTTGGTAGAGACAGGGCTTCACCACGTTGCCCAGGCTTGTATTGAACTCCTGACCTCAAGTGATCCGCCTGCCTTGGCCTCCCAAAGTGCTGGGATTACAGGCGTGAGCCAATGCACCTGGCCTAAACTTCAGTCATTCTCTGAATGTGTTTCCAGCTTCAAATTAACTTTGAGCACATGAGCGAGTCCAGAGGGAAAGCAGGCATCTTGGCACTGCTAGTTTGGTATTTTCAGAAATAAGATATAGAAAGTCAACCTGTTCAACATGAGTTGAGAATTTTATCAAGGCATATGTAAGTAGAACCTGATTGCAATGTACACTGCAGAAGAAAATGATGAGGAGTGCATACTGAAGAAAGAGGCTACCTTAAAGATCCAAATTGAAATATAGGTGGGCAGGCCACCTCTTGAAGGCCTCTCACTATTAAAGTGGCCATTTGGGGCATCATTCCCAGACCCAACCTGGCCCCCAACCTCACCCTTGTCTTCTGAGCTTGATTCTGTAATGGGCGTTGTCTCTCTGGGAGTGTGTCTGTTACTCTTAGTGAGCTGAACCCTGTACTGAGGGTGCCTCTGTTCCTGGAACCCCAGCTGACATAATGGGAGCATGCACCCTGTGTGTTCACTCCATGCTAGATCTCCAGATGTTAAATCCCAGCCTGCTGACTGATTCCCTTTAACCTGAGGCCAGCCTGTTGATCCTAGACCTAGCAGTGCATAGGCTCTCATCTCCTGCCTGCATGGGAATGATGTCACCAAAACATTTTTCTCAATGAGTGGACCAAACGGTTCCTTTAAGGGCAGTTTCCTGGGGTCTTTACTTAAACACTGGCTGCTTGCTACCTTCAGGCTGACATTTGTCCCACCATGGTGTTTTGGGGAGATATACAGGCACATCCTTGAAAGCTAATTAAGAGGAAAATGAAGCACCTTGAATCCTAGGAATCAGATTTACAAAGCTTTCCAAGAACACCCAATTAGGTAAAGGGAGGTAATTCTGCTCTAATGTTTACATCCTTTTCCTTCCCCTACTTGTGATTGTGAATGTTTTCAAGTACAACCCCCACTCCCAGCAGTACACGCCACACAGCGCCACTGCAAGATTGGCTCTAGGTCTGTGCCATCCCCTCGTGGCCAAGTCTCCTGCAGCCAAGTCTCCTGCTGATCTGTGACCATACCTCATGGAGAACTGTTCTAAAGGTGATGAGTATCATCCATAGTTCAGCTTACTTATTTACCTTGCACTGATTAAACTTTGGGGTGGGGGTGAAAGGGGAGCATCACACATGAAAGAGATGTTTCCACATGGAAGAAGAGTCAAACCAAGCTGAAAACCAAACACAAGGATGCCTTAGGAACAGGTTAATAGTAACTCATTTTTTTCCAGTAAGGTTAGACTGCCGAGTGCCTTTTGCAGGGCTGAGAACCACATGCCCAACCATCACCTTTTTCAGTCCTGTCTCTACCCCGGTGTCTGCACTGACACCCCAGGCTGGAGCCAGGCTCGCATGTTCAGGGTCAGCATCTGGCCTATACTACATTTTTCTTAGGACCCAGGCGAGGCAGGTTTCCGCCTCTGAAAAGTTGTCTGAGAACTGTGTCAATGCTCGCTTGTGTTTTTGCACCTGCCCCCAAGCCCCAGCGTTGCCACCTGCCTACATCACAGGATGGGGTTGAAAGTCCTGAACTAGCCTCCCTGACTAGGGCCTTCAAGGATAAGGATTCTCAGCCCAGGTTTTACACCAAACTCAAGTAATTACATGCGTTTCAACTAAAACAAAACAAAACCCAATACCTCTTGTAGCAGAGAAAGTCAGTTCATCAGAGTAAGAGGTTGTCATCATTCCAAAAAGACTGCCTCTGCCCCAGCCATTCAACGCGCCACTGACCTCATCCACAACACAGACTAAGTGCAAACGTTATCCTCAGTCATATACCAGCCACCAGATATTTAGCTTAGGGGTTAAAAACAGTGTTGGGATCTTCTGGGAGAGGGCTCTGAAAGATGAGAGAGAGAGAGCACTTGGGAAGGTGAAGCTGATTTTGGATGAAATTTCCCATTGGAGTAAGAATCACATTTTCAGAAGCAACAGAACCTTGGAAACATTTAGTTAACCTCTTCATTTATTTTTTATTTTTATTTTTTGTAGTAAAATATACATAAAAATTTACCATTTTAACCATTTTTGAATGTGCGATTCAATGGCATTAAGTCCCTTCACAATGTTGTACCACCATCACCACTATCCATTTCCAGAATGTTTTCATCATCGCCAACAGAAATTCTTTAGTGAACTCACTAAACTCCCTATTCCTCTCCATCCCTGCAGCCCCTTCACCTTTAACAGAGCCACAGGAACTTGTCCTTTTCTGTTTGAAAACTGAAAGGTGCTCTAGTTTCTGAGGCAGCTTCTGGTTTTTCTGGTTGCTATTCCCCCACCTACACCATCCTGCGGCAACTTGGTGTCCCATCTCCAGGTTGGTTTTAATCTAAAACACAGATCCTGGCAGACGAGAAGACCTAACTCCTAGTGCCAATTTTTGTGTATAAGTGTGTTTTTCCATTTTCCAGCTCAATAAAAAGGAATATCATTTCTGCCCATCTTGACTTTCCAAGGCTGAAGTGTAATTTAAACAAAAACCACAAAGGCAGTATCACATGGAAAACTGGAACAGGAGTCAAAAACCTGGATTTTAGTTTGGATACCGCCAGCTATGTGACTG